CAAACAGCACCCTCACACACACACACACACAGCAGTGTGTGTGTATATATATATATATATATATATATATATATATATATATATATATACACACACACACATACATATACACGTGGCGTGTGTTTGTGCTTTAGGGTGCACACCCTAATGCAAAAGGCTGCGCATGCCTATGCTCACTTCCCTAAGCTATAGGCTGCCCCCAACCCCAGCCTCACTCCCCTAATCTATAGGATCCCCCCCTCACTCTCCTAATCTATAGGCTGCTGCCCCCCCAGCCTCACTCCCCTAATCTATAGGCTGCTGCCCCCCCAGCCTCACTCCCTAATCTATAGGCTGCTGCCCCCCAACTCTATAGGCTGCTGCCCCCAGCTCACTCCCATCATAGGCTGCTGCCCCCAGCCTCACACTCCCACCCAGGCTGCTGCCCCCTCACTCCCCTAATCTATAGGATGCCCCCTCACCCATAATCTATAGGCTGCTGCCCCCAGCCTCACCCCTAATCTATAGGCTGCTGCCCCCACCCAGCCCCACTCCCCTAATCTATAGGCTGCTGCCCCCCAGCCTCACTCCCCTAATATATAGGCTGCTGCCCCCCCCTCACTCCCCTAATCTATAGGCTGCTGTCTCTGGCTGCATGTGTTGTTCCCCTGCGGTTTCAATCAGCAGAGAGATGCAGAGATAAGATGCAGCTTCCTATCCCTGTCTCTCTCCATACACAGCGCCTACTGGCCGGCGCCGGTATTGCAGTTCATTTTAAATTTCACACGAAAAATATCAGAACAAGCTGAAAAATCCAGGGGCGGGGGGGGGGGGGCAAGTGCCCCCCCTTGCCCCTCCCGCAGACGCCCATGTATGGGGCAATCATAAGGCCTGTGAGGTGGAAGCTGATCAGCATTCTTCTTATCACAGACATCTGCAAAATCCGATATTGTAGAGGAAGCTTAGTTAAGTTTGTAGCAACCATTTCATTAATTGTTGTGGTAACAGGTGTCGCCTTAGAGGGTTGACAATTCATTAAGCAGTGTTCTGAAGGAAAGGACAAAGTTCTAGTCTTCCAATCAATCTGTGGGTTATGCAGAGCAAGCCAGGGTATACCCAAAATCACTGGAAACTGTGTTGAGGAAATTAGGTGGCAAGATATAGACTCATGGTGATTCACTTCCAGAATCAATTTTAAGGGCACAGTCTCATGTGTAACCGGGCCTGATGTAAGTGGAGAACCGTCTACTGTTTCCATTAACACAGGTGAAGATTTAGGGATAGACTGAATTTTATTTCCTGCTGCAAATTTAATGTCCATAAAGTTTCCGCCTGCTCCGGAATCTATCATAGCTGTAGTTGAAATTTTATTATCACCACATTGCAAAGTGATAGGCATCACCAAATGAGGATGTTGAGTCATCATACCCTCTTCACCCTGAGCCAGAGAAAACAAGGGTTGTGTGACAGAATCCAGTTGGTCTGAAATCTGGGATTGGTGTTGAATCTGTGCACCCTCAGCAGTCATAGCTATTGTTCTTTTAGACTTCCTAGGGCAATTGATGGCATAATGCCCTGCACTACCACAATACAGGCATAAGTTTACATGTATGGGCAAATGCAATCTTTTGATATGGACTTTGCTGGGACTATTTCCACCATGCTTGGGTATGGAACGCATGGTGGACCGCAGAAGTACCATGTGACCACGCCAAACCGGAAGTTATGTGTATTTTGCCGAAACCGGAAGTGATGTGATCGGCGGCATTTCTGAACCACAGCCGGACCAATTTGGATACATCAAGAGGGTTATTTACCGAGAGCCTGGACAGGCACCCAAGGGTGATGTACATAGAGCCTATGAGGCTCCATCTTTGTGAGTTCATTCCTCATATATTATAGACTACTTATATTTTACTGTATGGAAAGCACTATGTATATTCCATTTGTTTTTCAGATGTAACCACAGTATCTATATCTACAATAGGTGGTATATTTATATATTGTACCTTTTAGTGTGTGTGAATTTGTTTATACTCTCTTACTAATATACTTACCCAGTGAAAGAAGAAAAATGTTACATTGTATACAATTTTAAATAAAAAGTATACAAACATAGCCAGGATTCAGCTGTAAGCATTTGCAACACTTACAACAATCAAGTAACATACATTCATATAAAATGTAAGTTACTTAGCCAGTCAATTTAATGACAGGAATGAATAAGTAGATAACTCCCTAATTCCCACGGTATTAGGGAGCTATCTACTAAAAGGCTGAAAGACCTAAATTGGTCTTTCAGCTAAATTTACTAATACTAAGTAAAGATTACTTAGTATTAGTAAATTATGCCCCTATGCGCTATACCGTGAGTAGGGGCATGTCTATTAAAAAATGAGCAGCCTGTGGCTGCTCACTGTTAAAAAAAAAAAAAAAAGTCCCCCCTCCCTTGCCCCGCCCTGCAATTAGGCTCAGAGCACTCTGATTGGTGGGTTTAAGCCATCCAATCAGAGTGCTCTGATAGGTAAATGAAGATACTGACAGGTAAGTCTCTACATTTACCTGTCACAGCACTCTGATTGGTTGGTTTGAAATCCACCAATCAGAGTGCTCTGTGTCATTTTACACAGCGTGGGAAAGTTCTTTGGAATTTTCCCATGCTGTGTAATTTGACTCATAACACTCTGATTGGTGGCCATTGGAGGTAACTAAAAAACCTCTATTTGTTTAAAAATACATAGGGCTTAAGTAGAGAGCGCAGGTAATTTGTTTTTCTTCAGATCATAGTATGCTTTGCTGATCACCTTGGGACATTGTGATGATTCTGTGGCATCTCTTGCCAGCTTTTTGTATAGACTCTGGATCTCCTGCTGCATGGCACATGTGGCAGGTTGCTGCTCCTCTCTGAGCAATTGATGAGCAGCTGCTTGCGCTGCTGCAGCTTGCTTGAATAAAGCATCTGTATTTTTTATTTCGAGCCAGTACAAGTTGCTGCAGTATTGATATGCTCTCTTGCTGTATTGCATTAGTGTCCGCAGTTCTTCTGTTTGTCTCTTGCTGTACATCAGTGGACTGTACATCCTCCATTTTCCCAGCAGTCTCTTTCTCCCAACTTACAGACTTTGCAGTGTGTTGCCCGGATCCTCCACATATGTGACCAAAGTACTCCTTTCCTTTGGCACCTTGTTCTGGGATTAGGGTGTTACACATAGGCCTATTGCATTAGGGTGTGCATCCTAAAGCACAAACACACATGCCCCGTGTATATATATATACACACACATATACATACATACACTGATGTGTGTGTGAGGGTGCTGTGTGTATGTGGTAGTGCTGGTGGTCTGCTGCTAGGGTGATGTGTGTGTGTGAGGGTGCTGTGTGTGTGTGAGGGTACTGTTAGTGTGAGGGTACTGTTAGTGTGCTGTGTGTGAGGGTGCTGTGTGTGTGGGGGCTGGGGGGACAGATTAGGAAATAGCCCCCCTCCCTTCTAACCTTTTGACTGGGAGGGGGGATTGTGCTGCCATCCCTGGTGGTCCTAGTGGACCGGTATCCTGGATTTGGAGAAACCTGGTGGCTCATTGCCAGCAATAGCCTGGCTGGACAGTACCAAGACCCTACCTCTTCTGCAACACCTGTTCATTGCCTCCACTCTCAAAGTCTGGATTAAAAGCCAACTTAAATACAACTTTATTACCATTCCAGGTCCTCTGCTCCTCCTGTTCCACAACCCCAATTTCTCCACAGGTAACAACTCCCCAAACCAAGCTTTCTTGGTAAAGTCAGCCCACAGACAGGGAGGGAGGCAGGAGAGGACCCGGGGAGCTCTAGCCAGCAGCTCCGCCGGGTTCCTCTCGCGAGGTCGGAGCATTGCCACGGCAATGTCTGACCTCGCGAGAGGAACCCGGCGGAGCTGCTGGCTAGAGCTCCCCGGGTCCTCTCCTCCCTCCCTCCCTGTCTGTGGGGCAGTGAGGGATAGTGCCGGCTCTGCATGGACCGACAGGGGAGATCCTGTGCGCACGCCTATGGTGTTACACACAGTCTTTTCAGGTTTCAGAGACACTTCACACGCTAGATGAGGTAAATTAATTTGCTATTTTTATTGTGGTTCCAAAATTCAACAATGTGCAGTAAGGTAAAACAAAGTATAACAAAATAAAGAAAAACAAAATCCTTGCTCTTCTGAGCACTAACTTAACAAAATAATAAACTAACTGGGTTGGATAGCTTGTCTATTTCCCAACATAGATAAACATAAATATCCACTTTACTGTTTTATGTTCTTTCAGTTCTCTCTTTCCACTCACAGGAATCAAACACAATCTCTACGCCTCCTTTTGCAAGGGAGCACTTAATTGCACCTGCAATTAACAGTCTTTTTTAGGTGAGGTAAATCAGGATTGAAACTCTGGAACTGGATTCCTCACCTGCAGTTTCCAAGCAACCTCCAAATTGTGCAGTGGAGCACTGGCCCACCCTACTCTCCGAGTGCTCCACCTCAGGGCCCAAACATATTCACACATTTAAAGTGCAATATTAATTTTAATACAACACAGTTCCCAGGGGCTAATTACACAAAGTAGGAACCTTGCAGCATCTGGGGAGATATATAGACTCCATCCAGTACAATTCCTTGCTTTCGGTCACAACACATATACGCACACTGCATAATACATATATCCATACACACATACTGCCTAATGCATGAATTTTACATGGAATACATAATTTAGAGCTGTGATAAATCATGTTTTAATTAATTTGGTGGGATTTTATTTATCATATTGTGGCATTTAATGTACAATAATGGGTTTAATTTAATGTTACAGTAAACCTGTCTGACTGTAAGTAAAACATTTTTTCAATATAATCTATAATATGTATTATGAATATAATGGTCACATGGTCCCTCACTAGTGATGTCCCGAACTGTTCGCCGAACAGTTCGTGAACGGTTCGCCGCGAACGGTTTGCCACGGACTCATCATTGAGTAAACTTTGACCCTGTACCTCACAGTCAGCAAACACATTCCAGCCAATCAGCAGCAGACCCTCCCTCCCAGACCCTCCCACCTCCTGGACAGCTCACTAAGAATGCAGCTTCACAATGGATGCTGTCCAGGAGGTGGGAGGGTCTGGGAGGGAGGGTCTGCTGCTGATTGGCTGGGATGTGTCTGCTGACTGTGAGGTACAGGGTCAAAGTTTACTCAATAATGAGTCCGCGGCGAACCGTTCGTGGCGAACAGTTCGGGACATCACTATCCCTCACACATTCTTACTTAAGTATAGACAGAATGTATCTTACACACTCTCACTAACACACATTCTTGCTGAAGTATACACACAATGTCATTGACACACACTGTTATTAAGCATACACAAAATGTCACTGATGCACTCTCACTAACACACACTCTTACTGAAGCATACACACAATGTCACTGACACACTCTCAGTAACACACACTATTATTAAGTATACACACAGTGTCACTCACACACTCTCACTAACAGACAATCTTACTGAAATATACACACCAATGTCACTCACACTAGTTTACAGTCACGCTTTATTTAAAAAATACACAAAATAATAAGCCCCCTTAGGCTCCATGTGAGCCATGCCTGTGCTGAGGAGAAATTACCATTCTCCAGCCTTCAGGAAGGCTCCCCTTTGTTTCTGCGGAGGGAGCAAAAGAGCGTGGCACAGTGAGCACAGCCTGCTTCATTCTACCTCCAGCTGGTTTCCAGTGTTTATAGGCAGGGTCAACCAGGTTACCCTTGCCTGCAGGTTCCATCTGCTTGGGGGCTAGGCTTTCAATAACATCAAGTTTCAATTGGGGGAGGGGGGTAAAAGGGGGGAACATCCTGATCCAGGGGGGCAATGACCCCCTCTGCTCCCCCCCAACGACGACCCTGATGACGCCCCATGATGCTGCTGTAGGTGGTAGGTGGTTTCATAGGTCCATCAGCAAAAGAGGTTAAACTCCATATGTGCAGCTTCTCACAGCAAAATAGAAACTTCAAGCACCATGACCACTTTAGAGTAGCAATTAAAGTCTTATATTATATACATAATGTCAAACTAAGTGTAGTTTTATATTTATACACTTATAATTAAATTAAATAACTATATATTGTATATATATATATATATATATATTATAAAATATAAATAAGTAAATGAATAAAAAAATAATGTAAAAATAATTTCTAATAATTTAAATTTATATATATATATATATATATATATGTAATTTTATTCAAACGGTATTTTGATATGAATATATATATATATATTCATATCAAAATACATTTAGAATGAAATGATATATATATATATATACACATATATATATATATATAAATAAAAATAATATAAAATATACATATGTCCACATACATAATTACATAAATAATTTCGTAAATATACACGTAGACTTCAAATATTTAAATATGGATATATATTTAAATTCTATGTGCATATTTATGTAATATTGTTACATAATTAAGTAATTTTATTAATTGCAATTTGAGGGACATGCCAGGCCGCAATAGGTGTCCGTGTATCTGACTGCAGGGGGAATGTCTGTGCTGACAGGCAGTCTCCCTGCATCTGTAAAATAAAAAATAAAGTTTAAAACAAGCAATCAGTGTAAAAGAATTAAATAAATATGTGTATGTATATTTACACACATGTATTATATCTATATATAATATGTATATATATCTTATATACATAATGTCAAACTAAGTGTATTTTTATATTTATATATATATATATATATATATATATACATATATTAATATAAAAATACACTTATAATTAAATTGCACACGTATTAATATATAATATATATAATAACTATATATATTGTATGTATATATATATATATATATATAGTAAGAAACTGGGTATACCTGGAAAGGATAGTGTAGTCTAGGAAGAATCTATTAGTACATATATTAAGAAAGGGCTAAATATCCCTATATGGAAAAATTAGAAAGTAGATAGAAAGAACATTAACCCTGGGTGATGATAATATATAATTTTAGTCAAAACAATATTGCAGTCGGTACTATGAGCTTGAATAAATCTGGCTCAATATGTCACTCATATAATGCCCCAAGAACACCAATAGAGCGGGTATTGCACAAAAGAAAATAATCAAGATAAAACATGTATAGACGAAAGTTAGAGAGTTAAACACAGTGCTAGCAAATTAAATTCTCTGGACTTTCGGCCTGGTTTGTCAAGTATGTCCCTCAAATTGCAATCAATAAAATTACTTAATTATGTAAAAATATTACATAAATATGCACATAGACGCTATACTCTAATCACGGCATGTGACTGTATTTATTTCACATTTAATTTTTGTTTTCACGCTAAGTAGATAGTTAGTTATACTATTTCTCTCTACCACTATAGAGGTTCAGTAGTTACATTTTGTAAGCCAGATACAATTACATTTTGAAAGTTAGATACAATTTTGTTATTTAGACTGCTAGGTTTACAGGCAGTTCTGGTTACTTATTATCGGTCTTCTTCATTTCCTCTTCCTTTTGGTTATCTAACTCTATCCATAGCTATGCCATGAGCATTCTAAGCTTCACGATATCTATGCTCTGTACCTACTACTATTCATTGCAGTATTGACATTATCATATTTAGTGCATCAAACAGGGAACAAAAAGGGAAAATAGCTAACTACCACCTCAAAAAGGACTCTAATGTGCAAATGTACTTGGCGTAATGCCAAAACCAATTCCTTTAAAAAAAAAAAACTGTTCTCTGATTGGACACATTCCAACTAAAAAGTATAGCCCTAAATTTATATTTATATATTTTCTCTCCTATTCTAGGACTTCAGAGAGTAACATTACTACTAACAATATACATTATTATAATTCAAGTTATCTTTATTTACATATATAATAGGTTGTTAAGTTATATTGTACCTATTAATTTATACTTCTGTTCAATCCAATGTCAATCTCATTTTTCTAAAATCATTATACCACCCATCCTTTTAGTGTAACACAATCGACCACTCCAATTGGCCGACTCGCTTGTCAATCAAACGAAAATCACCCGATTGGGCACACTTCAACCAATTAAAAATCACAGACGGATATTTAAAACCTCTGTTAACAGAGGTTAATTTCCCCCTGAAGAGCCGCCCTACCGGCGAAACGCGCGTGGGGGCTTCACTTATCACTTGTGGTCAAACTGCAGACGCCTAACTGACATTCTGTTACATCCCTAACTGACATTCTGTTACAATCTGCACGTGCAGCAAACCTCCGCTTACTGTTTTCTTCAAATGCAGTCTGACCCGAGTGTACAGCTCTCTACAAAACTGCTCTATTAGTGACAGCTAGATTGCAATTACTTTTGGCTAATACAGGTGCCCTTGAAGGCACAGGTCAGCTAACATAACACGCAGTATTATTTATGACCTATTCCTCTACCTTATGCACTCGAATACTGCTTAACCAGTGGCAGCTAGATTCTGTTTAACTTTGGCACAGATTGGCCAATATAACGAGCAGTATTACTATTCTCTTTACCTCATGCACTTCGGTATGATGATAGTGATTGGTGCTTCTGATTAGAGATAGCTAGTACTAGTCCTACAGACTCTAGTATAGGTGTCCATGAAGGCACAGATCAGACATAAGATTTGATAGTTTATCATTCCTATCACCATTACCTTTACTAATGACATCCTCGATAGAAGATGCTTTACAAAGACTGAGCACTGTTTAGCCGAGGGTTCTCCCTGGCACAGCATAGCAACTAGGATATTACGTTGTATCTTATTGATATTAGTGACATAGTATACTTTATCTCTTACAGGACATGTATTACCCATAGTGTTGCCACTCAGCTCTGGTTGCTACTAGCATATGTATATATGTATATATATTTTTGTTTGCTTTTCTAGCACTGTATATATTGTTAATAGATCACTTTGTATCATTGTGTTCAATTATTATATTATTTCCTGTGTGGTTATATTCTACTGCCACCTTGTGGTTATATTATAACCCTTTTACTAATTGCTATAATTAAAGCTACATTTTATTATCTTACGACTTCTATTTAGGCTAAAAACTTATCTCTCTCCTCCAGCGTTTATTAACTACTTGGGTTCATGCCCTACCCCCTTAGCCCAGAGATCATTTTATTATTGTCCCACCCCTTTTTCCGTTTTTTCTTTATGCCGAAGTACATAACTTTGCATTTTTCTACATTAAATTTCATCTGCCATTTGAGAGCCCAGTCCCCCAATCCCTCTGCAGCAAAGTAATATCTTGCTCGCATTGTATTACTTTACAGAGTTTTGTGTCATCTGCAAACACTGAAACATGACTTCCAATGCTTTTTTCAAAATCATTTATAAACATGTAAAATAGAAGGGTTCCCAGAACAGAACCATGAGGAACATCACTTGCCACCTCTGTCCAGTTTGAAAATTTACCATTAATGAACACTCTCATATAGATGAATGGCACCTTTCATCCTGTGGTACTTTTATATTGTACATTTTACTTTGTATGTTTTATACTTTAATGCACAGCCTGCATTCTTGATCTTATTTTCTGCTTGGGACTTGTTCAAAAAACATGCTAATATGGACTACAAAAGGAATATGTAAATAACCCATTGATTTTATGAAGACACAGAGGCTTAACTCTTCCTTGATTCACTCAGCAGCAAAGACAGAGAAAAAACATTGATGTTTAAGTATATCAAATAATAGCATACAATTGGGTAACATAGCTTCATAACTTAGCCAATCGGAACATCCCACACAGTGGATCCTATCAATATATAAACGTACATGTTATCCAAAATCCCTCATAAAAGTACATCTTTCATTCACTATTTGACCTATGTATTATTATTTCTGGGTTTATGGTGTTTGATGTTCCCAATTTATATGCCTATGCATGTTTAATGTTCACACTATATGTGGCTATGTATATCTTTTTTACCTGATCCCTTTTCTCTTTTTCTTTCACTGCCTGTCTGGTTTGGGTACCGGTTGTGCCACTCGCCTCCTTTCCCATCATGTTCCTGGATGGAGTCTGTTGTGTCCCCCTCTGCTTACTCATATCTGCAAACTTTCTCCTTTGGTACTTTGCGATGGTACCACAAAGTGTGTGGCA